AGGAGCCAACGAAAACTCCGCATGTTGAATCAATTGCTCCATGATATCCAATAACATCTGGACATAGTGTTGGATTCAACTCTTTCTACAAAGCGATAATCCAACGAAATTAATATTTGGGCGAGCGCGTTTTATTATGCGCCAAAGGTGGGCGAGCGCGTCTCATGTCATCAGGACTGATGACGTATATGAAATGTTGGAGTACACCTGTTGATCGTTAAGAGGGAGTGGTCGGGTACATAGTTTTACTCTTGGGCTGTTTCTACTCCCTCTACTACTCATGGCTGTTTCCACGGGGGTCTTAAACGGTGAGAGCAGATCGTTCCCTCCTGCACTAGATGAGAGGGCTGCTCAATACTCAATGCTGAATCACGTCATCAACAACTTGGCAGCACCCCTTGTCAATGTTGATGAGGATGTTATGTGGAAAGTAGAGATACTTATTGCAGCTGTCATCATAGTCTCACTAAGTGTTGTCTATCTACCAGATCATGGTGTCTTTACCAAGTACTCCATACCATAATTTTACCAAATCCTAAGGCTCCTTCTCAGACCCTTCAAAGCGGTATGGCGAGTGCTGCTTGGTGTCGCCTTGTGCTACTCATGCTTTTTGCTGTATCTCTTGATCAACTATAATAGGGATAATGCAATGTAATAGAATCTTCCCAGCTTATTAATCATACCATCCATCAGCCAATTCTTGGGATGGTTGGACCCGAACTTGGGCAAGCCCTTGCCCGAGAAGAACTACGCGGACAACTGTGAGCTTTGGGATGCAGAAAATCCCCACCATCTACACAACTTTCTCGACAGAATTGATATATTCATCGTTTGCCACTTACTTGGTAGTGACGAGGAGTGCTTAGCTTGTCGTCAGATGGTGGGTGTCAGGCTGGATGTGGAAGACAGTTATAATTAGGAGCGCGGCATTAGTTTGGTTTCTATCTATACTCTTTGAGTTCATCGAGATTTCCTTTAGACATTTATTGCCTAATTTCTACGAATGTTGGTAATGCGCCAATTGTTATCTTGATACGTTCTACTCCATGATTGCGATCAGGTGGGATTCAGTGCTCCTGGACGTCTTTGGATGCAACGCTCTAGGGGTATGTTTAGGCATGCTAGTTGTTCGCAAACTTGGACTGGAGGAATATCATTGGGGTAACCCTTTCTCATGTATCATATCTCCTTATTAGCGTTCAGGCTTTTCCCGAGGAGGCTGCTGGTCCGATCATCGGAAGCTTCTTCTGTTCCTCTTTATAACCATCTTTGTCGAAGTGCTAGACACGACACTCTTTTTCATCAAGTACATGGGTTTCTACACATCATCGTTAATATGTTCCTTGCCGGTTTAGATACGAGTTGTGGATGCCAACGTCGCACTGGATCCTCGTTTGCCGGACATTCTTCTGGGCGTTTTTCGGCCCTCCTTGCACAACGTACTCGATTACTCGTGAGATGTCATCGAATTCTCAGCTCACTTCAGGGAGCTTTACAAGTTGCTATATGGTCAATTGAGTACCTTTCCGTTGTATCTCGCTGTTGGTACGATCATCCAATGTCTAGAGCTCGGTCTCTGTATCAAGTTCGGTCAAGGTGAGTGGAATAGGGTCCAGGTGGGATGTTGGTGAATTCATGGCGTCAGGTGTTTTCCACGAGTCGATGCCGAGTAATATCCGTATATCGTGGGCTGTGATATGGACAATTGTCATTGCTCGCGTTATACACCTGCGGATGGAAGCGGCGAGGAAACCTGTAAACGGTGAATCTGTACATAATGAGAGAGTCGAATCCCCCGAGCAGAGGAATTAGTTATAGTAGGGAGTTGTTTCTCAGACAGGGGGTAGGTTGTGTTAAGAGTATCCACATTCGTTGGCTACTATTCATCTCAACAATGCGAATGCACCAAGGACTGTACTCGCAATTGAGGAGCAGTCAGCCTGAGTGGCTCAGGTAGGATTTGTCAACGAGATGTTATCAAATAACTACACCAAGTCATTACCCTTTCCCAAGTCATTCCCAGAAGTGCCACTTTAAGTTCATATGTTGTTATTTCAATCAAGGTGTACAGGCTACGGTGGGCTTGACCCGACCTTTACATTATTATGAAAGACTCGGAACACAAAATCAGCTTCATTAAAACTACCCTCACAAGCCATCCGAGCTGAGAAAAGGTCGGCTGTCGTAACCACCATACTGTTGCACAGAAATATTATGTAATGTGGATCAACAGCAACGCAGGCCATGCTGTTCGGGGAGTCTACTTGACGTACTATCCTTCGGTCAAAGAACCTCATCAAATTCGTTATAATGATAATAACAAGAACACGCTGTGACTGATCGACCGTCAGGCATATAATGTACCAAACATGATCATCAGCAGATGAGTGTTCACTGTAGTACGGAATAAAAAATACAGTTTCAGAAAAAAAATGAATGTCGGTCAGCCAACAGTTACCTAGAGTAGTTGTTATTGAAGCTCCTAGGAGCTGAAGCATACTGGAGAGGAGCAAGCTCGTTTCGTAAGCTGACATATGCATTGACTCTATAGTAGACATGGCATCATAACACCTGCATATCAGCAGTAAATACTATATCGGAGAGATCACTATCGCAGCGGGGAGCTACGAATAGATCAACAACTGGTAAAGTTATAGTCACATGAAAAGATCATAATCACATCGTACGCGTGTTGCGCAAATAGGTAGACATGTGTTTGAGTTCTGGGCAGCCAGCGAGCTCATCAATGAGATGATACAGCTTCTCTGTCAACTTATCAATATCATCGGAGTCGGTCCCCATATCATTATAAGACTCAAGAGTCTTATCTTCATCTGAGGAGGGCGATGATAGAGAAATTGACTTCACCACCATAGGAGGAGCTTTCGGGTTAAGAGCCTGTTCATTCAGACCACAACGAAGATCACCTTCCCCATGGGCATGTCTACAGTTCACAGCTGGCCCACACTTTCCTTTCAACCAGAAGCGACAAAGTGAAGTCTTATAGACCTCACGAGTGCAACGGAGTTCCGATCTACCATGAGCATACTGGCAGTTGGAACCCTGTGTACATTTACCTAGACGAAACTGATGGCATATTTTGGTCTTGCGGAGGTCCGGAGCCTGCCTTAGTTCTTTCTCACCGTGAGCATAGGAGCAATTGTCGCCGTGCCAGCAAAGACCATGTTCATAGAACTTGCACAAACGAATCTTAACGAAAGTGTTACGGCTTGAGGCAGCGGAAGAAGATTTTCCTGTACAACTTGACATCCCACCACTGGAAGCCGTTCTATGCCTAGTCATAAGAGGTGACTCGCCACCACTTAAGGAAGTGGTCGTGAGGGGCCGGCAAGTAGAGAGCATCTGCACCGTAGAGGGAGAAAAACTCTTGACAAGGCTGCGAAAATCAAGTGGCGACGGAAAGGTGACACGCGAACTCAAGGTAGACACCATAGGCCTACGGGCGAGCGAGATGTCTGTCCAACGCGATTAACGCAATAATGATTTCTCACTCATGAATAACTATGGCGAATATCCCCGGGGATAATACATTGACTCGGACG